TGGCTTAACATCAACATGGCTTTAAGAGCAATTGATGTGGAGAACCTCTTCCACATCATTCACTCTGAAAGAGGGAGTAATGCATTCCAAGAAGAGTATAGGACACTTGCCTTCTGGCAAGATTACCTTCAGGATGCTGAATGTAAGCTATGCGCGGGAACAGTGTTTGAACTTAAGAAAAGATTCTCTGAAAAGTTTTGAGCTGCATCATGATACAATTACAAAATATCATAGTGCTTAAAATAGATTGTTCCTCTATTTAACTATTTCTAACTCCCCACTGGGAGGTTTATATCTTCACTTGCATCTGTTAGTGAGACTACCTAAAAACTATTGAGCAGATTTTAATGGAATTTGATAGATTATGGGCCTTGAAAGTTGCCTTTAAATTTCAGTGCAATCTTACTGACATAAGTCAATATGAGATAAAAGAAAAAAAATCAGCATTGTTGTATTTTCATTTGCAATGATGTATTCATCTGAACCATGATAATTTTGTTTATTAATTTTGTTTCTGCCTTTTCTTTAATTTGACAGTTGAAAAGGGTGTCTGTCTCGAGGATATTCTTGCTTTCTTTACTGGATGTGACAGCATTCTTGTCCTGGGTTTTTCTCCAAAGCCAAGCCTTGAGTTCATCCACCATTCCAGATTTCCAGTGGCCAATACATGGCATACCAGTTCATGCAGTAAACACTGCTTCAAACATGATATGGATTTTTGCCTTACACAATTCACCAGGATTCGGAAGAGCATGAGAGGACAGGGCAGGATTGTCGCGCTTGAGTTAAAGGATGTTATTTCAGAGGTCTGTTCATGTCATCAGTTTCATTTTTAAGACCTGAAAGCCATCTTTTATGAACAGTCTCTGTGACTGTTAAAACTATTCATAGTTTGTAACATTTGATGGTTTTAAGTGGTGTGTGAATTATTGCCACTTTTAGAAATTTTTAAGTTTGTTTTGATTTTAGCACTACCTTTGGACAGGTTTCAAGTTTTATTTCTTTGCAGACATTATTTTATACATGAAGTGTTCTTTTTTAAAAGTATAAACTTTTTTAAGTATTTAATGTATTGTTTCCTTTGAAAGAAGGCTTAAGATTTTTTAAAAACTTCTTTTGACATGCCAGGAATCATATTGTCTGATATCTACCTCTTCCAAGCAGTTACATCACATTGAAACTGTCTCGTGGCTTAGTTTGGGTTTTTATGCGGGTAACAAACATGTTCTTCACATTGTTAATTATCACCAAATACTTAAGTGGCCTTTATTTTGTTAATGTTGTAAAACCTTTGTGAAAATCAGTAAATGGGACAATTTTATTTGGTTGAGCTTGATTTAGTTATCATAAGATTTTGCATTGCTTTTCGTTATAACTATCCTTGTTTACATTTAGTTTGAAATTGGACATTTATCTTTTCTCAACAAAAGCCTTGTCTCTATAACTGCTTCATTTTTTTCCCCCCAGAAACAGACTCATTTGAATAATCAATGCCCAACCCCCTTGCCATGTTAGTTTCTTAATGAGTAGTTGCACAGGTTTCCTACCAATAAATTTTTCAATGTTTCTAATTTGTGTTGGCTTTGTGTTTTGTCAGTGTACATACATGCGTTACAGATTACAGGCATATTTCCCCTCGACAAACGTGAAAAATAACTTGTGTTTTAAAATTCCCAAATTTCATCAAAAGGAATACAACATTATTTCATAATGCATAAACAAAAACTTTGCATTCTGTACAGTAATTAATGTGAAAATTTCATATCAAGTAAGTGCTTAGCAAATAAATATCTTCTTGCCTGAGATCTGCAGTTAGTTGGCAAAATTCAATGGTTTAAGATTAAACTTGTCCTTTTACATCAAATAGAATAACACTGAATTCTGTGGGGGTTTTTTATTATGAGAGCACACTGGCACCTCTTCTGAGTTACTCTGGAGTACTTTTATTAAGGCTACAAATTTTATATGTAATCAATGTAGGGGTTATACATGCCTCATGACAGATGTATTAATCAATATAGGGTCTAACATGTACCCTTGTTGCTTAGTATAAAATGATAAGGTGGCAACCATGCCTTTATTCAGTGACTTTGCCCACCTTCTCCCAGTAATGCTTTATACGGTAGATGGTACGAACCACAGCAAATAGACATACTAGTTTATTTTTTGACCATATTTTAACCATCTTCATAAACAAAATGATAGAAATAGGAAACTATTCAAAACAAGCATATGGTCAAACATCTGGTCAAAATGTAAACTGATTTGTACAGCTACTGGGGTCTATATGAAAGAAAATATGAAGTAAAACTAAATAAAGATTCTTATCTTCATTGGTCTGTAAAACAACTTTTAAAAAATTTATAGTGATTCCATCATTAGCTATTGATGAGAAACAGGAGTAAGATATAACAAACATTTCAATAGATAACATAAGCACAAGTAACATAATACCCAAGCATTATTTATGGATTTATTGCAAATGAAATTTGCACCTTAGCCCATTGAGCCCTAAGCATATTTTAAGGAAAAAAACGCCTAAAAGACATACCCAAAGTAAATGAGGAATTACTACACTTTTCTAAAGGTTATATGCATGTTCTTGGTGTCCTTGGACATCTAGAGACTTCTGAGAATGTGTTCCAAGTGTCATTAGTGTTGTATCTGTAATTATGCCTGAGTAAACTGGAATAAATAAGAGGAAAAATTATGTTTTTTTAACCTCGCCAAAATGTTTTCTTTTTTTGACAGAGGAAAACACAATGTTAGCAATGATTCCAGGCCCCCAGATGCCATTGATTAGTGATGAGCTTCATCCACTCCTTGACCACAAATGTACCAAATTTGATAGAATTTGGGCAAACAGTAAAGCCTACATGAAGGTTTTTGTAAGGATACACCCTGGCGAGGACTCAGTTTGGCACAATTTGGTTTATTTTCTACCTCTGATGAAAACTGGCTCCAAATTACAATTAATTTCCATTAGACTAGTCTCCTACTGAGTATTGGAGCTTTTGGATATGAAATTTACCTTGTGACTCATCATTTTCTACCATTGTGCACAATATATATGTTCATATGCAATAAAGAATAATGAGAAATAACAGGAAATTCTACATTTTTTTGGCTCCACAGGGAGTATTTTTATTTAAAGAAAAGTGCAAAAAGACAAACAAACAACCACTCAGTGCAAACAATGTAAAATAAATAGTAAAAGTGCAACAAATATAAAATAAAAACCAATAGATAACAACATAAAACACAGCAAACCCCATTAGTGCAAATGAAATGTGAGCAAAAGGTGCAACAAAACTATTTACAATGAGCAATAAGCAGATGGAATGGCTTTCCAGCTGCAGTTCTTTTTGTAAACAAAATGTAACAAACAATAAATAAAATATAAAGTGATCAATGTATATGTGAAGGAATGGAATGTGCAGGTAGACAAAAAACACAGCAAAACACAACAAACAATATTACAGTAAGTAAAAATGTGCAAAAAATCCAACTATTTACAAGGGATGAATGTGGTTCTTGAATACCAAAAGAAGTTATTACTTTTTGTGATACTCCACAAAGCAGTTTCTTCCGGGCACAAGGCAAAGTGACAGATTGCACCTTGAACAGAAAACCGGTGTCTTCATGTCCTTTGCCTTGTAGCCCTGCATCTGCTTGGCCTTTTCCTTCTCCTTGGCCGCACAGATCACACATTTCCTGCGCCGCTGAGTGCTATCACCCCCCCTAAACACAGGCATGCAGGTGTTGGTACCGCTCGGGCCAGGGCTGGCTGCAGCAGCCACAGCTGTAGCCTGCTCCACCATTTCCTGCATCAAAACTTCCCGCAATCTTTAGAGGGACATAGGGGTCTGGTTTTGGCAGGTGGCTACTGCTTTGTGGAGAATGAAGCTGTTCACCACAGCAATATCCATGAAGTGGTAAAAAAATGTTTCGTACCACCGCATTGTTTTGCTGTGGACGGTGTAATACTGACTAAGAGCGTCCGAGAGGTCCACACCATCCATGTTTATATTGCAGTCCCTGCATGCGTCTGGGACATCAACAGGACCCCTGTGCCAGCGTCCATTCTTTCTTATCCACCTCATGTCTCCCCTCTCAGGTTTCTTTGGGAGGTCGTTGACGGTTGTTTTAGGAAATCCCTCCCTATTTGACCGGATGGTGCCACAAGCTACAGTGTGATCAGTTATCAACATAAAGATGATAGCCTTTCCCAAGGAGATCAAACTTCATTAGGTCCATGACGAATGTGATGCTGAGGCCATCCTCCTTCTGCCCCATCTGTTTGACCTTTGTATCATCTTTACCATGATAAACAAAAAAAATTGAGGTGAAGCCTGTTTTAGAGTCTGCCAGTACAAATAATTTATAGCCAAATTTTGTTGGCTTATCCCTCATGTACTGCCTAAATCCAATGCGTGCTTTGCTGGCCACCATCTGCTCATCAATAGTAATGCTCTGGTATGGCTGAAAAAGGGAGTTATAGGCATTCAAAATCTCACCATCGAGTGGCTTGATTTTGAATAGCCTGTCAATTTGAGGTGTTCCCCTTTTTCTTTCTCTTCATCCTCTGCAACATCAGAGAGATGAAGAGACCAAAAGATGGCCTCAAATTTGTCCCTCGTCATGCTACACTTAGGAAAAACAAATTGGTACGGCCAGTCCTTCTGCCAGAAGTCATTCCTGGAGTGCACACATACCAGGCCAAAGAACAGGACTATTGACAAGAAAGGATAGAAAGAGTCACCTGAGAGGGGAGACCACTTGTACTTTGCACCTTGTGCTAGCCTTTGTGCAGCATTGGCATTTGTATCATTGATTATGGTGTTTATGTTGCTGCTGCTGAAGAATAGCCTGAAGAGGCTGAGCGGGGACCACTGTACCGTGGTGTTGATCCTGGGTCCAGGTGGATGCTTGGGCTCAAACCGTGGTGTTGGAGGCTCAACATCTGGGTCTTCTTTTGTGTGCCATCTCTCATGCTGAACCTCCGGGTGTACAGGAGCCGGTCTTGGCCGCTTGCTGGCTTGCCCTCCACGGCCAAGGCCACAACCACGACCACGGCTACGAGCTCTCTTGGGGTCAGGGGAAGAGGGCCCAGAACTTGAAGATAAAGAGGATCTGCGCTGTGGTGGCACATATTCTTCATATTCTTCTCCCTCCTCACTGTTGCATGAAAGAAGGAGTACAGATGTTGAAAGAAACATATTGAGAAGACTGATGATTCACATCAATTTCTACAAAGAATAACACATATAAATACATAATTGAAGCAGTAAAGAGTGTATTATTTCTTTTAGAGACCAAAACTACACAAATGATCAGGACACAAACCTTGTTTCAAGTGGTGACACCTCTCTTGCAGGCAAGGGTAGGGGAGGGGTGACTGCTGCAGGTACTGTTGGAGGTGTGAAAACTCCTGATGGGCCTGCTTGTGCTTCACTCTCCTCTTCTTGGTGGCTGTGAAAATGGTGATATATTACTATGTAGAACAAAAATAAAAAACATTTGTACATTTCACTGAAGGACACAAAAGCTGTGGACGTATGTAAACATTCAATAAATTAAGAAGCTATCACCTCTACTACATTTTGTTTGCATTTATATTTACTTCATGTCTTTTTTTTTTTCTCATCAAATATATTTTTGAAGGCAGATAAAATGCAGTATTCCTCAAGCAAAGTTAGACCAAAATAAATAAATACTGTGCAGTAATATTCAATACTATTGAGTTGCCATAATTACTCTGTTTTTTTTTTCTACACTGTAGTGCATATCAATTTACACTGAGCCTTATAAATATATGCAAATACTCACTCATAAACTGGGTCCACATCGCTCATAAATAATGCCTCCTCTTCGGAGCCGGTATCATTACTGCTTTCAGAGTCAGACGAGTCCTCAAATTTAACATCTGACCCCCGCTGAATTTCTGCAAGAATCTCTGCAATGTCCCTCTTGGTATTAAAAGTTTTCTTTTCCATCTTTGAAAAGAACTCGAGAAACTTTTTTTTGCGGTGCAGAATGTTTGCAGGACTGTCCTAAGTGATAGGCATGTCATTCAGCATTCTGCCTTCATCTCTGGGGCTCAGGTAAAAGCGCACAGATTACGAACACTTTACGCACTGTTTTTTTGCATAGCTGGGATTTGTAGTCCTTGGATTGAAAGGTGTCAATCGATTCAGTAGCTTCTCCCCTTTCAAATGACTACATACATGGCCGTACGGAGCCATTCTCTGCTACACTGTAAAGCTTTGATTAGGTGGTGGTCCCAAAATTTAACGTCCAGATTTCGCTACAAGGCAGATTAAAACCGCCATAAAAAGGTAATGTTTGCACTAAAACAGTCATCCGACCCAGTTTTGTGAACATTAGAGTCTAAACTTTGATCGAGAAGTGAAAGTAAACACCGCCGTCAAGATTCAATTAATTTTTATAGTGTTCAATTACATGCAGCAAAATCTCAGCCCATCGACGGCGGATGGAGTTAAGGGGGTTAAGTACTAAGGGCTCAATTTTCGTGTCTACCGGTGAGGCGGCGGAGGGTGGCGGACCCCATGCAGTGGTATTTTCGTCTGGCGAGCCGGGCGTACAGCCAGTTTGGTATTATTGTAGACTGAGGCGCACCGAGGTCCGCCAAGCTGGGCGTGGTGGCGCGGCAGGGGGAGGTGTCGACAGAATCAGCTGCCGCAGTGACATTTTCGTGCTCGCCGGTGGCGTATAAAGTGCGCTGAAAGCTTGCCGATTCAAACCTGGTCAGCTTTCAGCGCAGGCAGAGCGCAGCTGGTCTAGTGGTATTTTGGTAGACCGGCGGCGTATTGGCACACGTCACCGATGCCTCACTGGCAGGTTTCCACAGTGTCAGGCACATTTCAGTGCAATAAATGATCAATAATCTGAGTCAGCACATACATTTAGATCTATATAGATATATTCTGATCTATGTCTGATCTGATGAGCACGTTTGGCACGTGTTTGGACACACAACCTGACCGAATCAACACAGCTGAAACCGCATTAAATTAAGTTAACAAGATATGTAATTCGTCTCCCTCCTTTTCTTTCTTCCTCTTCCTCTTATTTCTCACGCAGCTCAACCTGGACATGTCTCCGTGTCATCCTGCTGCAGATTTATTTTATATGCCAACACCTATGAAAGAAAGCGCCAGGCCACGGCACGTGATGCATCCTTTATGCACAGATGGTTCCGATTTTAATGCCATTATTGGAATTTATGATGTGATCTCTGCGCACAACCCACCTTTGTCACGTGAGGTTTGAATATGTGCAACTTTATGTGAGTGTCTTAATTTGTGGAAAGAGTGTTTGTCTTACTAGAGGGTCCAACATTACACACACCAAATCCATCTGTGCTCATATGAGAGAGTGTGAAGGATGCCCAATGCAGCGTTTACAGTGACACTTGTTGAGGAGCTGCCTTCTGTGGCCATCGTGTGGCATTACTGTCTTCAGACATCTCTTGATCTCTTTGACTACTTCCCGAAAATAGTAATACACCTTGCCAGTGGCGGATTTAAAGGCGAGGAGAGGAGCTGATGTTATTGTCGGCGTGGCGGACCTGACTCATGCCGCGCCTGCGCCACGTCTCCGGTGAGGAAAATAGAGCCTTAAGTGTGACCATGAACTCCAACATTACTTAGCAGACTAATTACTCATTTGGAGCAGGTGACATGCTGCCAAAAAAAGTTCTATCCCATGATTTCCATCATCAGTCAATGGATTAATTTGCCTTAAGTCAGCATTGTAATTGTTGTGATCATGAGGTTGTTGTTGCACATGCATATGATCAAGTAGTCTCTGATCTTCTGGAAGTAAGATCATTCCAGCTGTCCATAACTGTAGTGGGGAGTTACTTTCCATTGTTCTTAAACTGTGGTGGTTCCATTGGCCCATAAATTCACTGGCGCCCTGTTCTTTTCACAGACGAGAGCAGGTTCACCCTGAGTGCTTGTGATTGACGGGAAAGAGTCTGGAGAAGACAAGGAGAACGGTATGCTGCCTGCAACATCATTCAACATGACAGGTTTGGTGGTGGGTCAGTGATGGTCTGGGGAGGCATATCCATGGAGGGACGCACAGACCTTTACTGGCTAGAAAATGGTAGTCTGACTGCCATTTAGTATCGAGATGAAATCCTTGAACCTATTGTCAGACCCTACGCTGGTGCAGTAGGTCCTGGTTTCCTCCTAATGCATGACAATGCCTGGCCTCATGTGGCAAGAGTATGCCAGCAGTACCTGGAGGATGAAGGAATTGATACAATTGAATGGCCTTTACAATCCCCTGACTTAAACCCAATAGAACACCTCTGGGACATTATGTTTCGGTCGATAAGGCACCGCCAGGTTGCTCCTTAGACTTTACAGCAGCTCAGGGATGCCCTTACACAGATCTGGGAGGACATGCCACAAGACACCATCCGTAGTCTCATTAAGAGCATGCTGCGACGTTGTCAAGCAAGGATACAAGCACGTGGGGGCCACACAAGATATTGAGAAGCATTTTGAGTTGCAGAAATGAAGTTTTGAAAAATGGACTAGCCTGCCACATCATTATTTCACTCTGAAGGGGGGGGGTTAGCAACCCAGCCGGACAGATACAAGGTTAACGACCAACAGCAATGGACAAACGTTGACGAGTAGAGAGTGCTTGTGCGGAAAGATCTGCAAGAATGAGAAGGGCCTGAAGATCCATCAGACACGGATGAAATGCAAGGAGCGACTGCAAGTATCACAATGCACAGGTCTAGTACCTGGTGAGACAGAGGAGGAGCTGAGCCAGGAAGCACCCCGCAGAGCTCAGAGCCTCCTAGTGGTACGGACAGTCCCTTCAACCAGACAGTCTGAGAAGAGAAGGATCAGATGGCTGACAGTGGCAGACGTTTGACGAGGATGCAGATAAGGTGCTGGAAGCAAAAGCCAAAGGGGATGTTGAGAGGAGGCTTCATACCATGACGACCATCATAGTGAGCATGGCTGCAGAAAAGTTTGGAGTTGAGAAGGAAAGGAGACCTAAGCAGCCTTACACCAAGAACCAAAGGGCGGTCAAAATCCACAACATCAGGAAAGAGCTGAAAGCCTTGAAGAATCAACATAAAGAAGCCAGTGAAGAGGAGAGGGGACCACTGGCAGAGCTCCGTCACATGCTCAGGAAGAGGCTTCTAGCCCCACGCAGAGCTGAACAACACAGGAGACGGGGGAGAGAGAAGACTAGAAAGCGGGTGGCTTTTATCAACAACCCCTTTGGCTTTGTCAAGGAGCTCCTTGGACAAAAATGCAGTGGTCGCTTGGTTTGTTCAAAGGAGGAAGTCGACCAGCACCTCCATAGCACCTTCAGCGACCCCTCACGACACCAAGAGTTGGGGCACTGCAAGCCGGTTATATCACCACCAGAACCTGCCAAGGCCTTCGATCTAAGTGAGCCATTCCTGAAAGAAGTTCAGGAGGTGGTGCAAAAAGCAAGATCCAGGTCAGCACCAGGACAGAGCGGTACACCCTATAAGGTCTACAAGCACTGCCCTAAGCTTCTTCACCGGCTTTGGAAGATCCTTAAGGTCATCTGGAGAAGGGGAAGAATGGCGCAGCAGTGGTGATTCACGGAGAGAGTGTGGATCCCAAAAGAGGAGGACTCCAAGAACATCAGCCAGTTCCGTATCATCTCGCTGCTCAGTGTTGAAGGGAAGATTTTCTTTAGCATTGTAGCTAAGCGACTGGTGGAGTTCCTCCTCGACACTTCGGTGCAGAAAGGTGGCATCCCCAGGCTGTTTAGAGCACACTGGTGTGGTCACTCAGCTCCTCAGAGAGGCAAGGGAAGACAAAGATGACCCTAGTGGTCCTGTGGCTGGACCTGGCCAATGCCTAAGGCTCAATGCTCCACAAACTGGTCCTTGAAGCACTGGAGAGGCACCATGTTCCAGGTGCAGTAAGAGACCTCATACTGGGTTACTACAGTGATTTCAACCTGAGAGTCTCGGCAGGATCAACAACATCTGAGTGGCACAGACTAGAGATGGGAATCATCACAGGCTGCACCATCTCAGTGATCCTGTTTGCACTAGCGATGAACATGTTGGTGAAATCTGCTGAACCAGAATGCCGAGGCCCCAAGACCAAGTCTGGGATCCGCCAGCCACCCATCCGTGCCTTCATGGATGACCTGACAGTGACCACAGAGTCAGTGCCTGGAGGCAGATGGATCCTGACAGGGCTGCAGGGAAACCAGAAGGCTTCATATGGTTGACTATGTCCTTTAAAATAGAGAGGGACACAGACTCAAACTTAGCAAAGACAGGTGAGGGGTGCAGAGGAGCTAAAGGGTCATATGAAGGCTGAGAGATACAGGCTCTGGTTGACATAGTTTTATCAGTGAAAAAGTGGAGGAATTTTTCACAAATTTCAGTGGAGGCATCAAAACCAAGAGACTTGGGAGTCTCAAGAACAGTGTTTATGGTTTCAAACAGAGCTCTGGGATTGTTACAGTTAAAAGCAATTAATTGTGAGAAATATTTATTCTTTTCAGCTTTCACAGTCTTCTGATACTTCCACTGGCTCTCTTTTGAAAATGCCAAAAGACACATGCAGTCTGTCCTTTTTCCACCTGCGCTCCACCCTCCTGCACTCTCGCCTGGCTGCACAAGTCATTCAACCAGGGTTCAGGCATAGGTTTGGTGCACCGGTTCTTTAGATGAGTGATCATGTCCAGTGTTTGTAGACAGGTGGAGTGAAATCTCAATACTAGTTCCTCAGTATCCACACACCCAGAGGCTGCAGAGTCACCCTCGCAGAGACCAACGAAGGAAGAGGAAAACAGAGCAGGCGAGGAAGAGTTATACATGCCATGCTGTTGAGGAGGAGCGTGCAATTTAACCGGACACTGAGTGGGAATATCAAATAAAATCGGCATATGATCAGAGAAAACAGCGTCACAAATGTCAAGATTGGAAACACACAGACCTTGCGAGAGCACTAAGTCCAGTGTGTGCCCGAGATTATGTGTAGAACCGGACACAGACTGCACAAAGTTAAAAAAGTCAATGACATTTAAAAAGCTCCTGGAGACCGGCTCTTCAGGGCAACAAGTGTGAATATTAAAATCACCAACAATAAGGACACAGTCGTATTTCGGGACATTTCGTCCAGAAATTCTAAAAAGTCACTGATAAAATCCTTATTGTACTTGGGTGGTCTATAGATGACGGCGCACAGGACAACATGAGAGCAGCCCAGTTCAAACAAGCACAGTTTAAAACTTGTAAAGGAGAATTGCAGGCAGATCTGCCGGTATTTAAAGTCGTTTTTAAAAATAACTCTCCATCCTCATACTCCTTGACCTCTCCACCGCTTTTGACACCATCGACCACGCCATCCTCCTGTCCCACCTACACTCCCTCCTCAATATTACAGACACCGCTCTCAACTGGATCCGCTCATATCTCACAGACCGGAATCACTTTATCCACATCAACAACTGCTCCTCCACAACTGCCCCCGTGTCCCAAGGTGTCCCTCAGGGTTCGGTGCTTGTTCCCCTCCTCTTCATCATCTACCTCCTCCCTCTTGGCCACATCCTCCGTCAACACAATCTCCACTTCCACTGATATGCTCATGACATTCAATTGTACATCTCTTCCACCTCCATCACCCCCCAGACCCAACGCTCCCTCTCAAACTGCCTCTCTGATATCAAACACTGGATGGACAGCAACCTTCTCAAGCTCAACTATGACAAAACAGATCTCCTCATCATCGGCCCAAACTCCCTCACCTCCACAGTTACAGACTTTTGTCTCTCCATTGACAACTCCACCCTCTCCCCCTCCCCCCACTGTCGCAACCTTGGTATTCTCTTCGACAGTAACCTCTCCTTCACCCACCACAGAAAGCAAATCACCAAAACAGCTGAAACTGCTGAAAGGTCATATGACCATAGTGATCATAGGATTTAATTGCACCAAATCCTTGACAGAGGGGCGAAGATCCAGCACTGTTTGGGGGTCATACACAAGCAGTGAGCTGACATTACTGACAACAATAGACACAAACAGCACAAACACAAACAGTGCTGACAGCGAGAGACGGCAGACCACACACACCGGCGCCCTCTTCATCACCACTCAAAAAAAGTGAAACACTTAGAAAAAGAAACAATCAGACAGAAATAAGACTGAAAAGATTATACAGAGGATAGAAACCCTGTTGGATAAAAATGTATTCAGATATATTTTGATTTTAGGTGGGGTCCATGACTTACACTTCAGCCAGTCTGCAGGGGGAGCTCTAAGTCTTTTGGCTACACAGTGAATGGACAATTCAGTTGTCCGTTGTGATAACGAGGAACTTGAGTTCCTCTCTACACGCTCTAGGGTGCAGCCTAATGCAGTGGCATTAAACTTCATCTGTGACAGTGCACATATTCTCTATTCTTTTTCAAATAAAAAAGGGATGCAGGACACAAATTTAAAGCCACACACAAAAAATTCTGGGTTGTATTTTCAACCCAACCGCTGGGTTGAGCCTGTTGGTCAATTTATTTGGGTTATTTTCATGGAGTTAGGTATTCTGAGTACGCAATTTGCAAGGTTATTTATGTTGGGAACAGAGTTATTAGCTGTTGGGTCGTAATTTCTATACAGTTTTGTTGGTTTATTGTGGACTACCGAACACATTGGGTAGATGTTTGGGCATTTGAAACCAAGCACCAGCCAAAGGGAGGAGACATACAAAGCAAGGTTTGTTTTATTTCCACTATTGCTTTACCATATAGATGACTTGACATTATAATACAGACCCTCATTTTGTTGTTAAGATGTAAGTTTGTAAAGCACTGTTGTGTACCAGTATTTGCCTTCAGGAATTGATAGGTGAACAAACTAATGGTCAGCCAACATTAGTAGCATAAAGTACGTTGCCTCAAACGCAGCAAGCTAAAACGTTACCTGATGTGCAGTGTGCCTGATGGGTCTTTCAGGTTGCATGGACACTGGAACGTGTGGTCTCATGTCTCCGTTGTGCATGCAATCCGACAAACCCGATGACTCCAAAATGCCATCGCCACACTGTACCATCCGGACGGTCACAGAGCCATCAATCACGTGACCTGGCGCCAAGCCGACTCTTAGCTGGCACGCGACTTCACATGCTCTGTGAGACCTACAGTCTGCGCTGCATCTTGCTGAAATGGCTTGGTCAGGAAAAGGTAGAAAGTATCACTCTTGGTATATGAACTCGTGAATGAATTTTTATTTTTCTTACCATGCTTTTTCCATTTTATTGGTGTGGTGTGGTGTGGTCAGAAATGTTGAACTACTGCTTTAATGGACCCTCTGTCTTGATGTTGATCAACGGAGGACATTGTGACGTGGCGTGGATGCAAGATATAACCTCCTGCTCTGTATTGTTTATTTTAAAAAGATAAGAAAACTATGTGAAAACTGCCAAATGTTTACAAACTCCAAAAGTTCATTATCTGTCAGTAAAATAGAAAGGGAGCTGTTAAAAAGAGAAACGTTATGAAGAATACTTGGTGAATCGTATATTTGAATGATTGAATGTATGATGTCCACGATGTATGTATACTATTTTTGTGTCTTCTGTGACTCTTGAATTATAATAAATAACTGTTACATTCTTACACAATGGTGATAATGTGATAATTTACTTTTAATTAAATAATTAGAAGTAGTAATAATAATAATAAAAAATAATAGTAATGATGATTAATGTAATATAATATTATAATAAATATTAACAACCCAACATGCTGGGTTTAAAGAACCCAGCAGAGTAGTTATTGTGAACACACTGTGCTTACAGGTTCTTGGAAGTGATGTAGAGCCCATGCAGTGATTTCCACTGCAGAGGCTCTTTATTTTTTATTTTTTATTTTTTATTTTTTTGGGGGGGGGGGGGGGCTTTAATGACAGGACAGTGGAGTGAGACAGGAAAAGTGGGCGGTAAAGAGGGGATGACTTGCAGCACAGGGTCAGGGCCAGACTCAAAAGCACAACTCATTCATAGGACGTGCTAACCCACTAGACTATTTGTACATTCAGAGACCTGCAGAGACTCTTTTTAAAGGGGACCTGCCATAAAAATGTAATTTTTGAGGTTTTTTGTGTCAGATAAGGTCCATATTATGTTCGTCTTATGTTGTAAATGTGAAAACAAACCGTTACGTCGTTTGCATTCTGTAAAGGTTTAAAATAAAGGAACGAGTAAACCAGGCCAATTGAAAAAGCAGGTCAGTGTTACGTTGCGCTGACCTTGCTCATTATTATTCACGAGCGCGTCCTCGGTGAGCCGTGCCCACTCTCTCATTCTCGTACTCAGTCACAGCCAGAGCGAGACCCAGCTACCGCTGTATCCACTATGGGTCTCTTCCAAACGACCGGTGTTTCCTTGAGTTCACTGCCGGGAAAATGAACTTAAAGCTGGGCAGAATGAATGAGAAAACACCGCTTGAGATCTCCAGCTTCTTCCTCAACTTCCACCTCCTCTTCGGACTCGGGGTCTAAAATATAAGGTTTAATACCTGCCGTTTTTAGCCTTTAGCATAAGGTGACCAGACGTCCCCGATTTCCGGGGACAGTCCCCGTATTGGATGACCTGTCCCCGGCAAAAGCTGTCCCCGAAAATGTCCCCGATTTAAGCGTTTCATGAATGAGAGCAAAAATGTTGCGTGTGGGCTCGAACAACGGTTATTACAGTAGCCGAATAGGTAGGAAGCACAAGTTAGCAGTCCTGAACAACAGTTCTTACGGGGGTTATTACAAGGGGCATGCGGTGCTACTAAATACTACCGAGACTTTGTCTGTGATCACACAGCCCCTGCAGCCCCTGCACTGCCGCCGCCGCACCGAGTATCCCCGGATATCAGTACAGACATCTGGGCACCTTACTTTAGCACACATTAGCATATGCTATTAGCATTAGCATAATAACAATGGATAAACCGAAATCCGAACCTCCACTGCTGAGCCAATCAGAGCACAGCAGGCTTCACAGCAGCGATCCAATCAGAGCAAAGCTCATTACCATAAATGTTAATGAGCCAAAACCAGTTGGTTTTCCTGTAAGGTTTTTTAGGCATACTAAAACAAACCATCAAATAACTTTTCAGCTAAAATTATGTTGCAAACATGATCAGAGGACATCAAGGATTATGAAAAAAAAAAAAAATAATAATAATAATAATAGATTTTATTTATAAAGCGCTTTTCAAAAAAACAAAGACGCTGTACAAAGTTTAAGCAATAACAATAAAACACACATCAATAAGCAATAAAATTTACAACAATATCAATAAAAACATGTAGAATCAGGTAAAGTCCAATGGGGGGGATGGCTAAGAAGGATGGAAGGCAGTGCGGAAGAGGTGGGTTTTGAGAAGGGTCTTGAATCTGGTGAGGTCAGTGCAGTTTCTGAGTTCGAGTGGGAGTGAGTTCCAGAGGGTGGGGGCGGCGACTGAGAAGGCTCTGTCCCCCCAGGTTCGGTGCTTGGTCAGGGGAACTGTGTGGAGGTTGGCATTGGCGGAGTGGAGAGTGCGGGGGGGGATGTAGGGGTGGAGACGATCCTGTAGGTAGGGGGGGGCGAGGTTGTGGAGTGCTTTGTGGGTGAGGAGGAGGATTTTGTATTGAATGCGATGTGGGATGGGGAGCCAGTGAAGGTTTTGGAGGACGGGGGTGATGTGTTGATGGGAGCGTGTGTGGTTGAGGAGGCGGGCGGCTGAGTTCTGGATAAGCTGAAGTTTATTGAGGAGAGTGGAGGTGGTGCCATAAAAGAGACTGTTGCAGTAATCTAGACGAGATGAAAAGAATGCATGTATAAGGGTTTCAGCTGCAGGGTAGGAGAGGGAGGGGCGGAGGCGGGCGATGTTTTTGAGGTGGAAGTAGGCTGTTTTAGTGATTTGCTTTATGTGGTGGGTGAAGGAGAGGTTGCTGTCGAAGAGAATGCCAAGGTTGCGACAGTGGGAGGAGGGGGAGAGGGTGGAGTTGTCGATGGAGAGATGAAAGTTTGTGACTGTGGAGGTGAGGGAGTTTGGGCCAATGATGATGAGATCTGTTTTGTCATAATTGAGCTTGAGAAGATTGCTGTCCATCCAGTGTTTGATATCAGAGAGGCAGTTTGAGAGGGAGCATTGGGTCTGGGGGGTGATGGAGTTGGAAGAGATATATAATTGAATGTCATCAGCGTAGCAGTGGAAGTGGAGGTTGTGTTGACGGAGGATGTGGCCAAGAGGGAGGAGGTAGATGATGAAGAGGAGGGGACCAAGCACCGAGCCCTGGGGGACACCTTGGGACACAGGGGCAGTTGTGGAGGAGCAGTTGTTAATATGGATGAAGTGATTCCGGTTTGTGAGATATGAATGGATCCAGTTGAGAGCGGTGTCTGTGATATTGAGGAGGGAGTGTAGGCGGGACAGAAGGATGGCATGGTCGATGGTGTCGAAAGCAGCAGAGAGGTCGAGGAGGATGAGGATGGAGAGTGGGCCAGAGTCAGCAGAAATGAGGAGGTCGTTTGTAACTTTGATGAGGGCAGTTTCGGTGCTGTGGTGGGTGCGGAATCCTGATTGAAACTGTTCGTAAAGGTTGTTATTGTTGAGGTGGGTTTTGATTTGTGATGCGATGACACGTTCGAGGATTTTTGACAAGAAAGGGAGGTTGGAGATGGGCCGGAAGTTACTGATGTCGTCGGGGTTGAGTCCGGGTTTTTTGAGGATGGGGGTGACAGCAGCCAGTTTGAGTGATGGGGGAACAGTGGCGGAGTTGAGGGAGGAGTTGATGATCTGTGTTATGATGGGGGAGATGACGGGGAGGCAGTGTTTGATGAGGGAGGATGGGATGGGATCCAGGATACAGGTGGATGAAGACATGGAGCAGATGATATTAGTCACGTCGGTTGAGGAGACAGGTGAGAAGCAGGAGAGTGCTGATGGGATGTGGGGAGGAGGGGAGGAGCGGGGAATGGAGGGTGGGGGAAGGGAGTTATAGATTGCATTGATTTTGGGTTGAAAAGAGGAGAGGAATGTGTTGCATTTTTCCGGGGTGAAGGTGATGGAGGTACTGTCTATGGGTTGGAGCAGTTTTTTGACGGTGGAGAAAAGAGCCTTTTGGTTACTGGAGCCGGAGTGGATGAGGTTGGAGTAATAGGATGAGCGGGCGGATTTGAGGGCTGTTCTGTATAGGTGGAGGTGGTCGGTGTAGGCTTGGAGATGGACGGTGAGGCTGGTTTTGCGGTATAGGCGTTCCAGTTGGCGTTTATGGGATTTCATTTTGTGTAGTTCTGAAGTATACCAGGGGGCAGAGTGTCTGAATGAAACTGTTTTTGTTTTGAGAGGTGCGAGCTGGTCCAGGCAGGAGGATAGAGTGTTATTGTAGTAGTTGAGTAGGTCAGGAAGTTTAGCAGATGGTGAGGGAGGGGATGCAGTGAGGGTGGCAGATAGGGAAGCGGATAGGTCCTGTGGTGAGATGGATTTGAGGTTTCTGAAGGTAATTTGTCGTTTTTCACTGTGAGGCAGAGGGGGGGGGTCGACGTTGAAAGTGACAGCCAGGTGATCAGAGATATAGAGGTTGGTGGTGGAGAGATGGTGGATGGAGATGCCGGTGGAGCAGACGAGGTCGAGGGTGTGGCCATGGGAGTGGGTGGGGGAGTGCACATGCTGGGTGAGATTGAGGGTGTCGAGCAGATCCAGGAAATCGGATGCTTGTTTGATAAAAATGATAAAAATGGGTATGAAATTTTGGTGGCAGGTCCCCTTTAATGCAGTGCTGGGTGAAAACCTGAAAACCACAGCCATCCAGTGTTGGTTCCCAGTCTTGTCCCTTTCAGATGGATATTTCTGCCAATTCTCTGATTTTGTTATATGTACCAAACACAAAGTCTCCAGTGCTTTGCAGTTGAATAACTGAATAACTTCCCATCTTTCCTTCCAAGAGACTCAACCTCTATGAATGTCCTTTTTTTAACCCAGTCATGTTACTAACCTGTTAAAAATTAACCTGTTTAGTTGGGATGTTCGTGGAGCTGTTTTGTTTATTCATTTTTGGCATTATCAAACATTTCCACTGTTACGTTTTGCCCCTCACTGAAACATGTTGCTTTATTGAAATTGTTTTTACCTGCACTATCCAAAGCATTTTAATTTTGATAGAATTAAAGTTATAAGACATTGCAACTGTTTTACTTTCTTGTTGTGGATGTGGTGGTGGTCAGAACTGACACTTGAACAAAGGGTTAAACCTTGACATGATGTTTTTAATGACACCTTTTTTAATTGACAGGTCTCATGGGAATACTATTGATCATAAATAAGAGCATTTCAGGATGTTTACTTGTTTAAAGAGTTACTAAACAGCAATCTGATACATTGTTTATTTTTTTAAGACTTGCAAACTGTAAACAGTTTTCTTCCCTTTGGCACTTAAATATTTGTCAGAAGTTTTGCTAAAACTGGTCATAAGATTGGTCATAAGATTGAGGTGCCCATGCACCTCATTCAGATGACCTGGAAATGCTTGAAAATCATCATAACATTCGACCTGAGCCTTGTGTATTTGCTTAATCCTGTTAATCTGGTTGATAGTGCTGCAGGAAGGGGCCCTGCAGGGCTGTGGGAGACCCTGATTGGCTGTGATGTCATCTGTTTCTGCTGCTTAACTGCCTGCTTTGCCTTTAAGTGCTTTCCAGTATGTTTGGAGATCAAAAGCCACACTCGCCAGAGCAGCTTTAATCACCTCCTCTGCTAGCGGCAGGTGTGTGAGCGAGCAAGCGAGTGTGTGTGTGTGTGTGTGTGTGTGTGTGTGTGTGTGTGTGTGTGTGTGTGGTATTGGTTGTGTGCTGCAGATATGCAAAGGGTTGCTGGCATTTCCAAAGATAGCCAGGCTGACATTTCTATTGACTTTGATGTTGATAATCCCCCACAAATTCCCCAAAGCTAGCTGATATTCTGTGTGTGTGTGTGTGTGTGTGTGTGTGTGTGTGTGTGTGTGTGTGTGTGTGTGTGTGTGTGTGTGTGTGTGGATGCATGTTAGTTTACTCAGGTAGTTGGGTCAGAATCAACGTTATCACTGTTTACCTATGAAAATGTTCCAGATTGAAGGGTCAACAGGTTATTTCACATGTATTTTTAAGATTCGTGATCCAGGCCAACGTTAATATTTTTTCACTGCTTTGATCTTCCTGATTCCCTCACAGAGAAATCACATTTAAAGGCCATGACTTCACTGTTTAAAGGGTACCTTCATGCATTTACAGCCATGTGTGGTAGCTCAGAGATGAAAAACTCTCATTAGGATGTGTTTATTAAAAACTGCCAAAGAATACAGATAATAGTAAAGACGTTTTTTTTTTTAAGTCACATTGAGCATTTCATGTACTTAAATCTGTCAATATCACCAAGATTGAATCACAAATAAGTGTCATCAGGGCACAATTTGGGTGGAGTTAGTGGGACCTTAGGTGAGTGCAAATTAACCACTGAAATCAATGTTTGGTGTCAAATTTGCAGATATTTGATTAAAAATTCTGAGTCGCTAATCAGTCAGTCAATCAATCAATTAATCTTATTAACATAGCACCAAGTCACATCAAATGTTATCTCAGGATGCTTAATAAAAAGAGAGCTGGTCTACATCAGACTCATAATATTTTCAAAGAGCCAACATGAAGATGAGAAAAAACTGAGTCTGAACTTGGAAGAGAGAGATGGACAGAGGACAGACTGATCTTTTTTTTAAAAAAAATAAGGTTTTCTTATCTTTTCAAAATAAACAATACATAACAGGAGATTTCATCTTGCATCTGCTCCACTCCATTGATTGTTCGTATCAACCTGAAACATCAAGACAGAGAGTCCATTAAAGCAGAAGTTCAACATTTCTGACCACACTACACCACATATCATCTACATGTTAGCTTGCTTCCTTTGAGGCAATGAACTTTATGCTACTAACGTTGGCTAACCATTAGCTTGTTCATTTACCAATCGATTCCTGAAGTCAGAAGCTAGTACACATCAGTGCTTTACAAAAATACATCTTAACAACAAATGAGGGTCTTTATAATAATATCACGTTGTCTATATGGTAAAGCAATAGTGGAAATATAACAAACCTTGCTTTGTACGTCTCCTCACTTTAGCAGTTGTGGCATCAATCTGGTGAGTGGGTGGTGCTTGGTTTCAATTGCCTGAATGTCTACCCAATGTGTCAGGTGGTCCACAATAAACCAACAAAACTGTAAAGAAATTACAACCAAACAGCTAATAACTCTTTATTTATTTATTGCTGTGAAAAAAAAAAGAAGTTTTTAAACAGTTTTTAAAAAGGAACGTGTCTACAATAGACTGAGCGTTTTTAACTTAACACACAGTTATAAGTTTAACCTTCGAACTTTTGGCTAAACCTCATTAATGTCCTGATATTCCTAATATTGTGTTTGGAGTCCAGTGGGGGTTGAAGCTCATGAAGCTTTCAGAGGTACAATAACACAGAATGAAATAGAGCTATCAGAGCTCATCACCCCTCCCTCTGTAACCCACACTGAAAAGGAAGCTTGACTGACCTCTGAACCCAGCTCACTCATCCCCATCCACAGACCAGTAACAGACTACAGAGCCTCCGGAGACTTAAACCACCCAAGGCTACCAGCTACAACAAAATCATCTCCCAAAACCTCTGCAGCAGCCCTCTCATCCTCCACAGCCCCGACCATATTCCCCACCGCAGCCCCCACCATGCAGCCCCTGGCATGCACTGCCCCCACTATGGACCTCCTCCACAGCCCCAACACTGTGCCTTTTGCAGCACCCATCATGGACCTCCTTTACATGCCCCACCATGCATTGCTACAGCCCCCACCATGCATTGCTACAGCTCCCACAATACACCTCCTGTAAAGCCCCAACCATGCACCTCCTCCGCAGCTCCCACCATGCACCTCCTACAGAGACTCCACCATGCACCTCCTACAGAGACTCCACCATGCACCTCCACTGCAGCCCCTACCATGTAGCCCCCGGCATGCACCTCCTCCACAGCCCCCACTATGGACCTAACCCATATTCCGAACTATGTGCCCTCTGCAGCTCCTACCATGCATCTCCTTCACAGCCTCCACCACGAACCTCCTTCCCAGCCCCCATAATACACCTCCTGCAAAGCCCTCACCATACACCTTCTCCACAGTCCCCACATGCACCTCCTCTGCAGCCCCCACAATACATCTCTTCTACAGTCCTGACCACTAACCTCCTCCACAGCCCCCTACACCTCCCAGATCCCGAGAGGAACCAGCCAGAATGAATAACTTTGTTTGAAGTTGACCCCAAACTGCCCTCTCCCTGCCTCAGGTATCAGAGCACACAGAACTTCTCTTTGGAAATATGAGCCACTTGCCTAAAATATAAATCAAACAAACACACAACCACTCCCAAACACAAGTCCTTCAAAATTGGCACAATTTTCTAAGTTAGGTGAAAAAAAGACAGAGTCAAAAGTTTCAGTAACGTGTTTGGCATATTATGTGGAATAAGTAGCGAGAGCTCAGTGACACTAAGTGAAGCTTCACTCTATAACGATACAACATCAAGCAGCACCTCGCTGTGGAAAAATGAAGCCAACATGAAGTGCAGAAAACTGCAGATCCTCTTTACACTTAAAGTTATCTGCAAAATATTGACATGCCCATTTATTTCTGCAGGGATCAAAAAACAAAGAGAGCACTGGATGTCTGCCATTGGGCAGTGCACAGAAAGTTGTGATAATGAAGATCTGCCTTTCTCACTTTTGTAGCTCCTTACTATTTTTCTCTCTTTGTTGTTCTGTGATCATAAAGTCAAACCTGATGACATGTAAGTTAACAGCATCTATAAAGTTATGAGTAATGTGCTGATCCACCCTTCTATGGCCTTCCCTCAATTTGACTAACCTATTTTCAGGTTTCCCAATAATATCCTGATAATATCATTATTGTGATGTCAGGGCAGCAATATTTGAAAATGAAAATCTGACACTGTGACACCGCGAGTTTAAACCCCTGATACAACATAATAGTTCATTTAAATACATTAAGGCATACATAGTAAATAGGAGGTTGGAAAAATTTCCCCCAATTCCCTATATTCTGGTGAATTTACATGCTGTAGCAATTGAAAAAAAAAATAGTAATAAAATAACAGAAAATAATAATAACAACTAGTGCCCCATGGGACACAAATGGGCCTGAGCAGCGGCGCTACGCTACCTCTGTAAACTACTTCCCCAGCGCATGTTGATATTTTGAAGGGGACACCATGGAGCCATTTTTGGTGTGATCTCCATTTTGACATTTAAAACTTTTGCTTTCGTCTTGGGGTTCAACATAAATGTCATTGATTCCATAGGTTTGGGTCACACACAGGAGTGAGGCTTACATTTTTTTCGTTTCATTTATTGTTCTTAGGGTCCAACAAAGGTGTGCTATAGGTGTGCTTCATTCCATAGGTTTGGGTCACACACAGCAGTGAGGCTTACATTTTGAAATTTTTTAGGGGGCGCTATTTAGCCATTTTTGGTTGGATCTTCATTTTGACATTGGAGCCCTCAAGAGGACGGCCCTCCTGATCTGTGTACCAGATGTCATGTGGCTGTGGCATATATATAACCAATATCCCAGATTGCTATTTTTTGAAGACATTTCATGGCGCCACCTAGGTGCAATTTCACAATACAAGTTGTTGATTTTCTAGCCTATCTGGTACCCCATCAGGTGTGTCCTGAACAAATCTCAGCAGCATTCAATCAAAAAAAGGAGTTACAAACCATTCACCGAGCAATGCATTCTCCTCTGCCACCAGGTGGCGCTAGAACATACAGATTAAAGATTTGTGTCCAGTGTCTGCCGCTGGACCCTTATAAAATGATTAAAATCTTGTGGAAGTGGAACCAGTGTGGTAGTTACACAGAAAACTCCCTGAGCACGAAAACTCTAGGGTGGCTAGAGAACCTTTTCCTTTTCATATATATAGGGGCACAGCAAAATATTCACATTTGAGCCGGGCCTGTCCCACCTGCCAAATTTCAGGAATTTTTGAACACGTCAAGGGGGTGAAAAAGTTGAAAAAAAAAAAGGTTATATTAACAACAATAATAATAATAAATAATTCCTGCAATTTCAATAGGGCTCTTGCCCGCTACTTGCGGTCCAACATAAATGTCATTGATTTCATGGGTTTGGGTCACACACAGGGGCAGGGCTTACATTTTGAAATTTTGAAGGGGGCGCTAAGGAGCCATTTTGTGTTGGATCTCCATTTTGACATTGTAGCCCTTATTGTTTATCTTGGGGTCCAACATAAGTATCCTTGATTCTATAGGTTTGGGTCACACACAGAAGAAAGGCTTACATTTTGCAATTTTGTAGGGGGCGCAATGGAGCCATTTTCCGTTGGATCTCCATTTTGACATTGGAGCCCTCAAGAGGACACCGCTCCTAATCTGTGTACCAAATTTCATGTGGCTGTGCACATATATAGCAGTATCCCAGATTGCTATCTTTTGGAGACATTTCATAGTGCTACCTAGGTGCAGTTTAATGAAAGAAGTTGTTGATTTTCTAGCCCATCTGGTACCCCATCAGGTGTGTCCTGAACAATTTCAGCGGCCCGAATTTTCTGACTGTAAACAAAGCCATTCTCCACCTTCCCAAACCTGATTGGGAGTAGACACTGCTCCTTAGTGCTGATTGGTTGTGAGGCAGACGCTGCTCCTAAAGTTGTATTGTTAATGAACATTTCGTTCAAAAGAACAGAACTGCTGAGTGAACGAAGTGAAATGAATCTCTCCGAGACCTGATTCGTTCCTTTTTCAGTTCAGTTGAGCTCAGCCGCAAGTCTGGCATGCCGGTCAGGAGTGGAACTACTGCCTTTGACTCTTTGGCGAACAACACACAGCCAGCCAGCCAGCGGGCGGGCGGGCGGAGTCTCGTGATTCACTCACAGCGAATGAACTATATGTACCAGTCAGTGAGTGAAACAATCTGTGAATGTCATGTTTCAGTATGTGAATAAAACAGTCTGTGAACGACCTGTATCAGTAAGTGAATGAAACAAACTACTTCCAAATGACTTCATGCAGAAGGTTGGGGGAGGGGATGCAGTGTCGTTCAATTACTGTTGAACACCGGTTTATTCACTGAGGCTAAGATAAAACAGTGTATTATATTGCCTTTACATTATTACATGTGTATAAACTTTCCTGCAAGACGGATTTAATTTCAGCCAATTTAAAGCAATATGCTATTTGTTATCTTAAAACGTAGCAGAATCCCCAATACAGCTGCAATGTTTAATTTTAATCTCTCCACTTTTCTGCTATATAAGACTGACGACTTGCGCTTGTTTAGCGGCCGTGCTCCTTGCTGCTGTGTTGTTTTCGCCGACAGCCATACACAGAGAGGTGAGTTTTTCAGAGCGGGGGAGGGATTCTTCCTTCAGGACTTGGGAAATGAACGACATGTGTCACCCAGTGAACGATGCTGTGACTTCAGCAGTAGGGGAGGGGAAGGGCTCGTTCAATGAACGAACTCACGGCTGTGTTACTCATATGTGTACTGCACCGGCAGCATCGGGCTTCAAATCACTGACTGATTCAGTGAACAAATCTTTTGAATAAATTCTTTTAATAAATCAATCAATCAATCAAATTTTATTTATATATCGCCAATTCACAACAGTCGTCATCTCAAGACGCTTTTCAAGGAACAAGAGCAGGTCTAGACCACGCTCATTGTTTGATGATCAAGAACCAACCTAAGATGGGTTTTGGCCCATCTCAACTAACATGCGTAGCAGTGGCAAGGAAAAACTTCCTTTTAACAGGCAGAAACCTTGGGCAGGACCCGACTCATGCCAGACAGCCACCATGCCGCTGCTGGGTTGGGGAGGAATGTAGAGAGAAGAGGGGAGAGGGGAGAGGGGAGAGGACAGGGGGAGAGAGAGAGAGAACAAGATAAGGGAAGGCGAGAGAGAATGAGTAAGGAGAGGGAGGGGGAGGGAGAGAGAGTAGAGAACGAGGGTGAAAGAGAGACAGGGGGCAGCAGAAACAACAGCAACAACAACAACAGCTCATGTAATGGTGACACAAAAAAGAGTTCAGTTTACAGGGTTAGGATATGAGTGATTATGGACAATGTTACATTAATTGAGTGTGATTACAGTTAGCAGGCCTAATCGTAGTTAACTCTAGTTTATGTTATTAATGTTAATGTCAGTTCAGTCAGAAGAACTGTTTTTCCAATCACTAGCTGCTCCCTCATGTTGTGAGGCACACTCCACATCCTCTAACAAAGTTCATGAGCCCAAACAAAGTTAGCATGCTACAATATCGGACAGTAGAAACCAACCACAAAGTACGGAAAATTGTCTGAATCCCCCTTTGGCCATGACTGCCAACACATGCAAGAAAATGAAGTAAATACCGAAGACTCTAATGGAATAACGGGTGCTCAAAATGGAGGTAGACCAGACAAGAGCTAAAAAGCTGTGTCGATGGGGGGTGCTTCGGGATCTTAGTCTTTACTGAGGAACATCTAAGCTGCTGTCAACTTCTGTCATCCCATATTAGTTATCTGGTTTCTTTGTGTGTTTTTTACCCTCTTCCCCAGTGTTTGTGACAGTCACATAGAGGAAGACAGGGTGAAGAGTACATGAAATGTTGTCAGCATGTAGACATAATAACTTGAACATAGCTCCCTAACATAGTGATTGATTAAATTTAAAAAATGAATATAAAAGAGTCACACATGCAGAATAAAAGCAGATCAAAGGCTATTACTGATAATGACCTCATCCTAAGTGTTGCTGATTATTTTTACACACCAACCAGGGTTTAAGATGTTCTAGGGGGTTTAAGGAATGCAATCGAATCCAGGAAAACTGGAAACCCAAATCCTGCCAGCATGGTTTATAATTAGAGTATCCTTGCCAAGACTCTGCATGCAGCCGCGGCTTGGGTTCTACCTTATCATCCAGCAGTGGTTGTGGCAGGTTTAAACACTGTCTAAATCATTAAAATCTCAGCTCCAGCATGTGTTTGCTATAAGGGCAGAGCAGGGAGCCTCAGCAGCAATCATTTAATGTCTTAACTACATCAAAAAAAAAAAAAAAAAAATTCTTGGCAAGACTGTTTTAGCTTGTGATTTGGTCCATAATTTGTTACATTCATTTAAGATTAATTATTTTTAAGCAGGATGGATGATGCAAAACGTAACTTGTGATTTACTTCAGTGAGGATTTTGTTTTCCAAACTTGGCGGAATGTAGCATGAGGTCTTGTTTGAAAATCATGTCCTTTTGTAATTAAAAAGTAATCAGATGTTTGACTACTGCAGCTGCACTTTTGTTGTTTTGTAAAACCAAAGCGAAGAAAACGAAAGACATAATTGATCAGTTTTGCTGTAGTTTGAGAGTCCAAAGATTGAATGAGGTTGTGCAAATGAATAGGTAAGCACTGCTATAATGACACTGGAAGTTTAGTCTGAGGAGTTGCATACAAGTGATTCATGATTCATGTTATTAGTTTTTTTATCCAGATATGAGGACAATCATCAAGATGTAAATGAACATCATGTGATCAAAATGTGATCCGACTGCGTGGGCAACAACAAATGTCACTTCAGGATAGATCTACAGATTTGTACTGTATTTCAGTCACAACTTGAACACAAGTATCAGATTTTTTTTTGCTGATTTGACATTACTTTTTCACTTGGTTCTTTTGTTAGTCTTTTTACAGAGTTTATACTGGATGTTATTGTGTGAGATTAATGTTCCTTTCTCAGCCATATTACGCACTGGGCAGCTGAATGCTTTGCCAGTATGTGAAAGACATGCCCAAGACGAGTATGATACCTGTTAGTTATGATACTGTTGATGAGAGATGTCCTGATTGGATAATAGTCATTAACAAATTTTTGAGCTGATGATACTGCTGCTATTATCAGCTGACTGTAGGACTGACCAGTACGATGGTTCCAGAAGTGGATGTTGGATCCACTGAGGGGTAGCTAAATGCCGCTAAAAACAAAGGCCTTTTGTGCCTCCAGGGTTTGAAGGAAAGGCCTCTGAGATTCAAGGCCTTGCAATGGTGGTCACCTCAGTGGAAATGCTGACTTGAACTGACTTTGAATTGATTCAGTAAGAGGCAAAGATTTTAGAGGGGCTTTAGCCTTCTGGCTGTGTTTTGTGCCAGGCTGTGATCCTCTTCAACTTTGCTGTAAAGCAGGCATTTTAACATGAATGTCAAAGGGGTGACCTTCTGGAGACATTTGGAGAGTTTTTGCATTTTGTAGCACATCCTCACTATCTTTATTTTCGCCTACACCAGGAGTTGTTGCCTGGTTCTAATGCGGTTTCCTTGGTCTTAAGAGACTGCCCGAAATGGACACTCTAGGAACTGTAGGTTTTTTTTTCAACACTGGAGGTTACTGTTACTTACTGCCAGGACCTGATGCAAGGGCAGCAAAGTTGAGTCAAAGATAATATTGTTCATATAGCAGATGAAAATGCAGACCTCTGCAGATCTGATGTCATTATCCAAGGAACAGATGCAGATACTTAGAAATGATCATTTAAGAAAGATGGCTCTCAGCTTGTAGCCAAAAGAAACTGTCTCCAGAATTCTACTTTATAAAAGTTTTGTGGTGCAAGAGGAACGGTCAAACGTAATTATCCTGTATATTCTGAGGAGATTCAGAAGTATTGCAAATAAGTTTGTCATTGTGGTCGGCATCATGCAAGTATGGTCTGTTTGAATTTTCAGCAGTAGGGGAAAAACATTAAATTCTGTGGCTTGGCCAGGAAACTGGAAAATTATCTAGCTGTGTACCCAGAGGAGGTTTCCCAAGTTACCATTAGGCATTTTGAGGTAACCTTTGGGACGGTGATTGGGTCATCTCCTTAAGAATTAGGACATATACCACAGTCAGTTCAGTGTCATAAACTTCAACTAGCTGCAAGACCTGCAAAGATCTCCTGACCCTCAGATATCAAATGAGCAGGTGGTTTTACAACTGCATGATGGGAGAAAATACTGCTGCAGTGGTTTGATTCAGACTTCCTTCCTTCTTTTTGCAAATGGTCTAATGTTCTAATCCAGACCAGATATATGGTTATAAGTGGCTGTTTGAGTGAGTGCATTAGTGCCGGGGTGTCAAGTCAGTGAGCCCAGTCTCAGGTTTCAGCAGGAGGTGGCTAAATGAGTTTTCTGTCATTGTGATGTGTGCAGAGCCTCAGGGCCAGAGCTCCAAACAAACACGACTCTCATCCCTTCACAGTAGGATGCAGGGATCCTCTCAGCCAAAACAAGGTGATCAAATAACAACACAGGGCAAGAAATAAGGAGTTCAGAGGATTTCACTCATGTAAACTGGTACCGTCTTTGAACCCCCCAAAAATCAGATTACTGAATTTGAGGTGCTGAATGTTTCAATCCACAGAGAACAACATGCCAGAAGCATAAATCTGGAACTAAAGGAGGTTACATACAGACTGGTTAAGGTCACTTTAATATCTGCTGACTGTGTCTACACCAGGGGTCGGCAACCTTAAACACTCAAAGAGCCACTTGGACCAGTTTCCTACAGAAAAGAAAACACAGGGAGCCACAAAACCTCTTTGACATCTAAAATGAAGATAACATTGCATATATCTTTTTTTTTTTAACCTTTATACAAAGTATATAAAAAACTGTAGCGAGTTGCATTTATGAAATAAATGAACTATTTCGGCGAGTGTCTGTCTTCTTCTGTAGTTAAACCGCAAGATATCAAAATCTACCCTGATACAGCAATGCTGCTTTTTGATTGGCTGTTCAGTAGATATACTTTATTTGATTGGCTTGTGCGTGGCACGCAGCTTCTGAACTCTCGGAGGAACTCAGTTGATTTCCCCCAGTTCCAAAGTTGAAGAAGTGCAACTTGGTGGACATCACCATGTTCATTTAAATGCGTGAGAAATACAATGTGTGGTGTGTGTGAGCGTGTGAACGAGTGGGAATGCGTGTGTCATACGCTGAATGCATGAGACTTGAGAGCCCTGTGCTCACGCATCATCGATGTACTCCCGAGCCATGCAAAACGGTCTTTGCAAATGTTGCACTGAACGCCTTCCTTTACAGTCTTGGTGAAGTTTTCCCACACCACTGATGTTTTAGGTCGGGATTTGGGTTGGGTTGTGTCCATGTTTTTCTCAGCCGCTGCCTCGGCCATGGCTGTTTCTTTTCTGTGCGTCCTGCTGATGTTTACACGCCGGTGTCCATGGACATATATAAAGACCCGACGAATCGATTACAGAATTTGTTGGCAACGGATTTTTTCGTCACGACGAATCTACTTAATCGATTCGTTGTTGCAGCCTTAATAGTTTATGTAAAGTTACAAGAGCATTATAATCTTTGAATTTAGAATTACAAAAAAAAAAAAATAATAACAAAATAAAATAAAATGCAATTAAGTATTTATTATTTATTTTCCAAATCCACTGGGAGCCGCAGCTTAGGGAAGAAAGAGCCGCATGCGGCTCCAGAGCCGCGGGTTGCCGACCCCTGGTCTACACCCAAATGATCATTACCCATAAATGCAAAGGCTCTCTGTAAATCTGAAGATGTATTACTGAAGGTGGTGTATTATTGCCCTGTGTTGCCCTGCTGCTGAAATGTGCTATACAAATAAACTTGACTTGACTTGACTTATTACTTAAAGGCAGGGTAGGCAGTGTTGCTCAGAGACACTATTTGTCATAATGGATAAAATGGTCCTCCCACCCCTAGAGTATCCAATTCATTATGTATTCAGAAAGAGAAACGAAAAGAATCCAAGATCTATGGCAGCCACAGGACTGTACAAAGTTTGACCAATCATTTTGTTCCGCCCGAATGTAAAGAACCAATCAGATGCCTCAAAGTCTTGTCCAGCACCGCCCCCACTCCCCTCTGCCCCCATCCCACCCCAACCGCAGGCACATGCATCACTTCGCTGTTGCCACAGATAGCAAGCAAGCTCCTCTGCCTGAATACCTTGTCAGCTGGAGAATATGTGACCATTTTACAATGGCAAAGAAATAGCAGCCTAAAATACAAGTTCCAGCGGTACCTGTGATGGATTGGCCAGCTACACAGCCAAAGAAGAGGAAGACAGAGGCAGAAAGGGCTGCAATGAAGAAGGCTCTGAATAGAGCAAGAGGACAAACCAGAGTCAACATCGGGGCAGCCTTTGAGCAGTGGAGACAACAGAATGGTTGCTTTGTTTCTGTTGGAAGAGTAATTATTTGTTTTGCTTTGGTGGATTTTAATATTTTCTGAAAAAACATATGGTTCACCAGTTTAGCAACTTTTGTAGCTCATATTTGCTCAATGCTAACATTAGCTTTTCTTTGCTTTTAAGCGGTCATAGCGGCCGGCGTACGGGTGCCGCTGTATTGAAGAGGTTGTAGGACGTGACATTTTGGTCATATTGCACACCTACAGTCGCCAGTGTCTGCATGGTAGTCTGTTGGCACCTACAGTAGCACTAATGCTATTTACTTTTATGTTTACTCTGCTCGCAATACTATGGCTATTGCATGATTGCCACGCACTCCAGCCTGACACATGTCCGTTCACTCCATAACAAGATGGACTTGCTGCATACCTGGTGCCAACAGGAAAGTGCCTTCAGGGACATCTGTATCCTCGTCCTATCTAAAACCTGGCTTGATGAGTTAGTTAGACACTGAAGTCAGCCTAGATGACTTCACCATCTTCAGGTCTGACAGAACAGTACACTCAGGGAAGATGTGGGGTGGCAGGGTCTGCCTTTACATCAACAAAAGATGGTGTAACAATATCAAGGCACATCGGAAGGCATGTAGTCCAAACTGGAGATGCTGACCCTGTCACGTCATCCTTTCTGTCTCCCCATAATCAGCTGTGTTGAAATTGCTCCCAGTGTGAACAATTCGACAGCAGCAGAGCTGGTAGCTGAGGGTGCTAATGCTCTGATGGCAAAGTATCCCAGGGCTCTTGTGTTTATCTGGGGGGATTTTAAAACATGCAAGCTGGACAATGTTCTGCCATCATTTCAGCAGTATGTGGATATTCTTATGAGGAAGGTGGACATCTTGGATATGTGTTAAGGCAATAATACTGACGCTTTACTGGCACATGCTTGTTTATATCCACTGCCTGGACTTTAACATTGCTCATTGTGATCTCACCATGTGATGTGTTTACTTTTACTCTACAAACACGAACTGAAACATCATAAGCTACAATACTACAGTGCCCCTACAGAGGTCGGAAGATGCCATTGCCCATCTCCAAGGCTCCCTGGCATGTATTGACTGGGGTATTTTTAATGGACATCTGAATGACAGTGTTTCTGTCAATGCAGCCTTCATGCTCAAGGACTTTAAAAGCCTCAAATTAGCAAACAAGAAATGAAATTCAAGGATTAACTGGAATCTGAATTTGCCAACATGAACAGTGAGCAGGCATTTCGGAAGGTGAAAACATTAACAGAATGTGGTCCAAAACCTAAAACCTGTGTATCAATGGACCCAAGATCCTTTGCAGAAGAACTGAATACATTTTTGTCCGTTTTGACACACTGGATATACGGTGGAGTGTAAATCTCTGCTGGAAACCCTCCCTTTACTGGAAGCAGATAAGCCACCCCCCTCCACAGAAGATAATGTATGCCATCAGCTCATCCAATGCAAGCTGAACTAGGCTATAGAGCCTGATAGCATCCCAGTAAGGGTGCTGAGGGACTGTGCTCACAAACTTACACTAGTGCTTTATCCACTCCTCTGTGAATCCTACCGGTCTGTTACCATTCCTGTCCCCTGGAAAACAGCCACCGTAATCCCTTTAACCAAAATACCACGGCCCATCCATCCAAACTACTATTGCCCTGTTGCCCTCACCCCCATAATTATGAAGTGCCTTGAGAAGCTGCTGCTGTGTACCATCCTGCCAGTCGTCACCCCCTGGCTCGACCCCTTTCAATTTGCCTTTAAGACCACAAGGGGCACTGAGGACGCAGTGGCTTGCTTGCTGCATCTCCTCCTCCAGCACCTTGACTCTCCAGTTCACTTTGCCAGGATCCTCTTCATAGACTTCAGTTCTACTTTTAATAGCATTCAAAAGCCTCTGATGATACACAAGTTACACTCCCCCCTCATGTCTAATCCATCTCATCCATAGATTTTTAATTGACAGGCTGCAAGCTGTCTTGGGCGTTGAATGAACAATCATTCATCAACTCATTCATATTTCAGGCGAACATGAACGTTTCATTCTTTATTTGCGTATGAACACGTTGGTGTTGAACGCACTCATTCTGGCATCTGTGGGTGGCGTTCTAAACTCGGTTCACAAGTGTGCCAGATGTTTCAGGCGAAACCCCAGCTAAAACACAGCCTAAACAGGCCTTAAGATTTAGTAGAAAGCCACCCAATCAGGCCTGTCTGTTGCCCCAATGAATAGTCAGTCATCAGTCGTCAAAACTTCAGTATACATGATGGACAAGGGAGGTAGCACTAGCTGCCCAGAGTACACAGACTCATATGCGCTTTTATTGCATACCTGCCAACACTTCGTTTTTCCCGGGACTCTCCCATATTTCAGACCTATCTCCCGCCCACCTTCCATTTTGTCATTTCTCCCGGGAATCTCTCATAGTTTGCATGGTTTGCACGCTCATTCATGAATCCGATCACTTTATTTGTCCAAAGTTGCCAGGTTTCCAGACAACCAAAGCTTGCCCTGTGTTTCTGCTGAGCCTCACAGACACTGAATTGATACTTTCACAATATGGGATGATTCAGGTCGGTTTAAGCTGTAAACTATATTTAAGCGGCATTTGTTGCAAAATGAACACTTCAATGAAAGGGAAACAATTGTGAGATATAATATTTACATTGATAGTCTTGCACCTTCTAAACGGAGTGCCCTAAACGGAGTGATGCGTTTAGGGCAGCCTCAGATAAAAGAGTGCGGTATTGTACACACAGATGTTCAGAGAGCCTCATACGTGAGAGCATGTAAAACATATGAGGACTTTACCACTAATATTAGTGGACTAAATAAGTTCAAGGCATATCGTAGCTATTATAATTTTTTATTTATTGTTAAAACAAAAAAAAAAAGTGTGCAGCTTCACTTATACTAACTTGTTTGGATGAGCAATCTCATTACAAATACTCTCATAATTAGCTCATATCCACCGTACAAGGTAATCGCAAAACTGCCCGGTGCGCGCTGCAAAACTTTCCTGCATTTTATAAGGACCACAGTCCTGTTGTTGTAATCATAATAAAGAGTCTAAAAACCATTCAAGCAGCAGGTTTTCCTCATATTTATGAAATTATACTCTAGAGATGAACATTCCGACTAGTTAGGACTGAACAAAATATTAGGGAAACGCTGGTATTCTGAGGGCTGTCCTCTCAATTCTATTGTAAACCTGGTTGGATTAGAATTCAAAAATGGATATGAAGATTAACCTGAACTAGTTTAAGTGTTAAAATGGCTAAAATAATGGCTGTCTGTGGTTCTACATGGGCTCCGTAAAAAATCTTGACAAATAATAGCTTGCAGCAAGGTATTGGAGGAAAAATAAAAGAACTAAATCAGTTCATTTTTGGGAACCATGAACTTAAGTTCAAAATGTGGAATTATGAACAATAAACTGAACTAGTTCATTTTACATTGTGTGAAAAGAACTATGAACTAGTTGGGGTAGAAAGTGAACTTTCCCAACACTGGGCACAACAACATCATCCACATTCACAACAAACACAGGAGTACCACAGGATTGTGTGTTAAGCCCATTCCTCTACACCCTGTACACCAATGACTGCAAAAGCCCATAACCTACTACCACATATCTCAAATACTCAGACAACACAGATAACAACTGCCTTGGACTATCACAACACCATCTCACACTTCACTCAGTGGTGTGAGTATAACCACCTCCATCTCATTGTCACCAAAACAAAGGAACTGATAATCAGTCCCTCCTCAACTCAACATCCCATCCATATTAATGACCAAGCAGTGGCGACAGTGATAGTGACAGTTTTAAATATCTTGGGGTAACACCGAAAAAGCACACCTTCGTCCGGCACATCAGTGACATTCAGAAAAGGAGCCATTGATGACTGTCAGCCATCCAAACTAAAAGGACTCTAAGTTGCCCCCCATCTCCCCCTGCTGCTGTATAAAAGTATGATCAATCCATACCTCTCGACTGTTCCACCTGCTTCTTCACCATGCTATCTGTTAAAAACAAGGCCAAACTCACATGCAGAACCTCCACAGCTTCCAGAATAATCGGTCTCTCAGAACCAAATCTAATAGATCTCAACAGGGCCATTAATATTGCAACCGCAATAGAACATCACATTACACATCCACTAAGTCTAAGTCTAAGCTCCAGTGAGGGGTTTGTAATAGACTAAAATCAATTATGACGCCTCTTTATGACCAACAAAAGCAAGAGAGTCTGTCAGAAAAAAGAACAGCAATTTCTTTAGTGTAGTTTTTACTTTGACTTTTTCCACTGCACATATTTAAAATCGAAGTGATTGATCTGACAGTTTAACTAGAGAATAACAATACTATTTTTAGGAAAAATTTCTTTGATTTCGTCTATGTTACTAATGTGGCGACTCGAGGGTGCAATAAGGCAGATTTTGGATTAAAAAGAATTTGTTTTGGATTATTAAGGGAAACCAACAACGCCACTTTGGGAATTTCTCCCAAAGAATTAGTTCTGCAGGAATGAATTTTTTTTTAAGGCACTCAGGTTCATTTTCCGTAAATAGAGAGCAGGAGACGTGGTTCCAAGCTTACAAAATATTGACTTTATTTAAAAATTTTTATTCAATCATCAATAAGAACATAGCACACACACACAAATAGGGGAGGTGAGCCCTTTTTCAGGTGCTGAGGCTTACCAAATGGAAATGGATCTAGGGACGGGATGTGGGGGATCCCAGAGAAGAAAAGGCACCCCAAGCACACGTGGCAATCATACATCAGGAAGAACAGGGACTCACCAGTGGCCTGATGAGGGGTGGTATTATAAGACTACTGCCGGGGCGGCAGTAGCTCAGGAGGTAGAGCGGTCGTCCAATGACCAGAAGGTTGGCGGTTCGATTCCCCCCTAATCCAAGTCTGTCCGTTGTGTCCTTGGGCAAGACACTTAACCCACCTTGCTCCCAGTGTGTGTCCTCCACTGGTGTATGATTGTGAGTGTTGTGTGGTGGTGGTCGGAGAGGCCGTAGGCGCAGAATGGCAGCCACGTTTCCACCACCACCAAAGTGTGACTGTGTGAGCGAATGAATGATGTATCCAATGTAAAGCGCTTTGAGGGTCTCTGATAAAGCGCTATATGAAATCTGATGCATTATTATTATTATTATTATTAAGAATATAGCAACTGTGGCAAGCAGGAGCTCCAGTCTCGCTTCCAAGACACCGGCAGAGTGCACAGCAAGTCATGAAGAGTCCAGTTGAACGGCTCACACAGACCATTTCCAGCAGGATGGTACGGAACTATGTGAGACTTTTTGATGTCATAAAGGGCACAAAGTTGTTGGATCAAAGCGCTCTCAAAGTTGCGGCCTTGGTCCAAAAGGATTTGGGCAGGTACACCAAACTTTGAGAACCACTCCACAACCAGAACTTGGGCCACAGTGGAAGCCCGTTGGTCCCATGTAGGGACAGCCAGTGTGTACTTACTAAAGACGTCAGTTAACACCAAGACATTTTCAACCCTCTTATAGGTGGGTTCAAGCACAGTGTAGTCCATGGCAAGTATCTCATTTGTCTTGGAAGCCAACAGGTGCCCCATGAGACTACGAACAGGATGTTGGGAATTCTTAGCAACCTGACATCTCTCACATGTCTGACACCAACTTTCCACTTCAGAGGTCATACCAGGCCGATAACAACGTTGCCGGAGAAGCTCCAGGGTCCTTCCGACACCTTGGTGGCCATGCCTCTGGTAGACCTCAGTTAAAACCTCCTCTTTCAAGGCAGCAGGCAGGAGCAACTGAGGAACTGCCTCGCCACCATCAGGAGGACCCCATCACGCTCCACCAAATGGTCCCATTGGCGCAGTAGTGCTTAAACAGGCCGAGATAGCTGTTTGCACTCCTCCCTATCAGGATGCCTCTTCTGTTGCCAGAAGACAAGGAGCTCTTGTAGAACAGGGTCAGCTTGCTGGAGTGCACTGATGTCTGACTGAGAATGGTACAGGAGAGCCAGCACAGCTGATTGTGTCACTTCAGCCTTTTTCACCTTGAGTGCCTGCTGTAAAGGATGAGTAAGAGAAGTCCCAGGGAGCATGGTTTCGGTGTCTTGAACTCCAGGTGTATACTGGTAGGACGACGCATCAGCGTTTTGGTTGCTCCGCCCTGAGCGGTACCTGATCACGAAATCAGGAGATGCCAACTGGGCAGCCCAACGCTGTTTAGTGATACCAAGCTTAGCAGTGGACAAATGGCTAAGCAGGTTGTTGTCGGTGTAGACCACACACTTGTTACCAAGGAGATACTTCTTGAATTTTTCTGTCATGGCCCACTTGAGCGCCACAAACTCCAGTTTCATGGAGCTGTAGTTGACCATGTTGCGCTCAGTGGGCCTTAGACCACAGCTGGCATAAGCTATTGGTCTTACCTTCCCACCTTGCTCCTGTGTAAGCACAGCTCCAAGACCACCATAGCTGGCATCAACTTCCAGGACAAAAGGAAGGGAGAAATGATTGCAGGTCAGAAACTGTAGAGGGAGATGGCCAGATAGCAACCACTTCGACCTTACTTGGATCAGTGGAGCGCCCTTTGTCCGAAACCACATGACCCAAATACTGCACCTGTTGCTGGAAAAAGGCACACTTTGCAAGCTTCACCTTCGGATTCTCGGAACGCAACCATTCCAACACTTAACCCAACCTCTCCAAGTGCTGTTCGATGGTGAAAGAAAAGACGATAATGTCATCCAGATAGAGGAGTAAGGATCAACATTGTTGGACCCCAAACAGCCGCTGCATGAGTCGCTGGAAGGTGCCAGGAGCGTTGCAAAGTCCAAAGGGCATGCGGTTCCATTCGAACAACCCAAAGGGGGTGCAAAAGGCAGTTTTGGCACAATCATTCTCTGCTACAGGAACCTGATTGTATCCGCTGGCAAGGTCCAGCGTGGAAAACCATTTGGCATTCATTAGAGCATCAAGAGACTCTTCAATGCGTGGTAGAGGAAAAGCATCCTTCCTGGTCTTGCTGTTCAGTTGCCGATAGTCAACACACATTCGCAAAGTCCCGTCTTTCTTCTTCACAAGAACAATCGGAGAGGCATAAGGACTGCTACTCTCCCTAATGATCTGAGCCTCAAGCAACTGGTTGATATGCTGCTTCACAGCCTCATAGTCTGATGGAGGAATTCGCCTGTAGCGTTGCCTCACTGGAATATTATCCAGGAGGGGGATGTCATGGGCTATGAGGTCTGTGCAGCCCAAGTCTCCATCATGGACAGAAAAGACAGAGACATAGTTACCAAGGAGAGATCTAACCCTACCCAGAGAAGAAAAGGCACCCCAAGCACACGTGGCAATCATACATCAGGAAGAACAGGGACTCACCAGTGGCCCCAATCACACCCCAATCACACATGGCAATCACATGAACACTCACTCGGTGAAAACAACAAAAGCCCAGGGGATAAACAGCACACCATATGAGGGAAACCACCACCAGGACACCAGGAACCACCACTGCAAGCTCTCAGCAACTGAAAGGGACAAAAGAAAAGGGGGTTAGTGGGTTACACTCAAATAGAGAAAATAACTAAAAATACCTATACAAAATAATAACAAACAATACTAATATTATGGGTGGCAGCCACGAATTAGCTCAAGCAAAGCACATATGCTGCCAAGAAAACCCAACTCATGAACAACCAAAATAGAACAAACAAAAAGAAAACGATAAGTAAATTAGAAAAGATGTCCCTTAATTAATCAAAAACATACCAATCAACCAAAGGAGGATAATAAGCTAATAAACTAAATAAGGAAGGAAAAAAAAGATGTAACGAAATATGAAATTATTCAATTCATGGAAACAAATTTAACTCAAAAAATGTTTCCCCATGAACTCAAAACAAAAGGACCAAAAATATAACCAGTATTTATAAAAGAAAACCAGGAAACCAAATGAAGGAAAGAAACAAAATGAATTAACTAAGAACTTAAGTGACCCCACCGTAACACTGTCTTTCCTTAAAACTATTCCCTTAAAATTGGGCTGAGGACGTCAGCACACCATGAATACACTGGTCCAGTCCAGCCTGTGTGCAGCCCAACCACAGTTTATTTCATGTCCGCGTCCCTCTATGCGGCGACCAGCCCCTCACTTTCAGAGCCGCAGAAAAAAAACAGCAGAAAAAAAACAGCAAAGCAGCAAAGCACCAGGAGCTGTACATCCATAAGGGAGCAGAGGCAGGAAGCTGCAGGCAGGCACAGAAGTAGGAGCACTACGTCAAAGCAGCCACACAGCCGCCCGGCCAGGCAAGCAGCGGGGGAGCAGCACAGGTCGAGGCAAAGCAGAGGCAGAGCAGCGTCAAAGCAGCGTTAAGGCAGCGTCAAAGCTGCAAATTCTTACAGTAATCTTGCAGTAATCTTATCACCAATCTTGCACCGCTGGAGTTCCCCAGGGAGACACCTGGACACACAGCCCCTGTCACAAACATAATAAACTCTAATTAATGTTGGAGGAGCAGAGAGTGAAAGTACAGGTTCGCCGTAAGGCATACATACTGGTCAGGCCATGTGAAAAGATCATCTGAGAGGGAGAGGAGCGAGAGGAGTGCAGACCCAGCTACACTGGTGTCTGCCGCGATCTACACCGTGACCAGCATGAGAACAGCAAACATCAAGCATCTGAAAACAGGTCGAATCAGAGGTAGCAAAGCACAATAATCACCCAGTTAACATAGTTAGCAGCCACTGCTATCTTACCTGCCGCGTGATGCGAGAGGCAAGGCAACCTGGAAGTGATGGAAAGGCCAGAGCAAGAGGGAGAGGGAGGGTCCAACTACCCCCTTTTATAGAGTGCCCCCTTCAGGTAATTGGCTGATGGAGGCTTCAAGGAAGCAGGCAACATGTGCAGGAGCAAGGATGAAATACATCATCCTGCTACACTGAAAACAAACATACAGTAAGACAGTGTAACTGTAAGAGCTTAGTGTTCAGAGACTTTTAAATTTGATGTTGAAGCCAGCAGAAAGGGTTGTTTGGTGATGCTGCACTTACTGTTTATACATTCAGGACATTTTGATGAACAAATCCATGATAACTTATTGAACCCTATATAGGTTACATAAAAGTATAACTTTCCCTTCTGTGGACGGGTTGATTGTAAAACTGAATTGTCCTTCCAGGACTAATCAAGTATTCTAAATCTGAATCTGAAAGGAAATTTTAAACACAAAAGCAGAGGGTTCACACCACCTTGGATTTATATGTAAGCTAGTGTGAACCACCTAAATGGACATGGGTCAGCATCAGTGGAAGGGGCTGTGAAGCTGGTTAGGACATGGTTTCTGGAGATGGTAGAGAATGAATTAAAGTGTTGGGACTTCCAGGCAGCATCATGAATATTGCATGAATATTTCTCCAGATAAACTTGTGTGTAACAGAAGGTGACTTTTGTTCAGTTAAATGGTTTGTAATCAGTTCTCATTGGTCACTGCTGCACCTGAATGTGAATTCAGGGGCATCTTTTTTTTTTTTTTTTTTAACTCAATATAGCATTTCCTCAGTCATCAGTGGCTAATTCAAGAGTCCTCACCTGGTCTGAATGTGCATCTGTATGTGTGAGCGTGTGAGTGCTGTTTGTGTTGAATGGGGGTTTAGAGGGTGGTTGGGGTTTGGTATTTGTTTTTTTATTTATTTTACTTCATTGTTTTTTAATATCTTGCGTGAATGGACAGCACTTTGTGCTACATTCCATGTATGAAATGTGCTTTAAAAATAAAGTTTGATTGATTGATTGATTCTGGTCTTCGACCCAGACTTCAGCCAGTTAAACATTTCCTGCTTTGGTTTGGCACATTCACTCGACTTCACTCTCAAGTGTCTTGAGTGTCTCAAAGGGCTAAATTGGAGTTGAGAAACCACTAAAATAAATGCATGAAATGCCTGTGTGCAACCTCAGAATAACAGATTGAGTGTACATGAACATATAGACAAAGGGAAATGCAGGCGTTGAATTGTTAGACTGAAATTAGTGTACATAGCATGGAAAAGGAATACTGAGGTACAGTTGTAGGAAAAATGCAGAGCTCCTTGCCTGTGCTGCAAGGCTGCAGGTCTGGTGTGAAGCCAGCCTGGCTTTCTCAGTGTTTTTCTCTCTCCTCTCTGCAGGCTGCAGCAGGGTTTCTCCTCACCAGAGGTAATGATGGCCTCATTTTTGGCTGAGATTTGGAAGGAACAGGAAATTCTATGGCTGTCCTCGGAGGAGGTTGTTATATTACTGGGACACCACTAATAAGGACTGGTGCCGGCCTGGGATTCCTGGTCTCACTCTCTCTCTCTCACCCTCTCTCTTTTTTTCCCCCCTCTGAAGTCTGTGTCTCTTTCTTCCTCTCCCCAGCACAGAGAACTGCTTCAGTATTTATGGTGCACTGAAAAGCACATTCATTTTGGATACAGACACAACAAAATAAATAGGTCTTTGTCTGTTTGCTGAAAGTCACAGACTGCTACTCGTGCTATGATTTGACAGCTGCTCGGCATAAATCATAACAGTCATTCTGCAGATTGTTCACTTCCCAAGCCTGTGATGAAGCTGCCAGCCACACTCTGGCAGAGTTTCCTGTTTAGGCCTCACACAGTGTTAATACCCTCACAATCCATCTCCCTCCATCCAAGTTCTTCCTGCTCAGCCAAAGATGATATCTGAGGAAGAGAAAGCTTTTTGAAGGAGGCAGGCTTTGTCCTCTTCTCATCTCAAGCCAGCACACAAGGTGGTATTCAGCCTCAGTTTGCAAAGATCCTGACAAGTGTCTGCATACAGATCATGTTTTATTTGGTTCCGTTGTTTGATACTTTATAGATTTTTAACCATTAGTAGTGAGACAACCTTCTTCAGGTGTTCAGACTCTAATGTTATAACGATACTAATCTGGAGATAATACACTTCTTCTCATGTTATCAGAATATATTCCTCACACATCCAATGCTAGAGCAGAGACTCAACTACGTGTATTCAAGGCTTTTTTTAATGATCACATGATGAAGCCAACACAGATCTTGTAAAGACCACTAGAGGCTGGCACAAAAAGTTTGTCTTTCTCCATAGACCCCTTTACTGTTGGTGAACAGTAAAGGCTGCAGAAGCAGAGCAGTGTACCACAGGTCAGAGTATAAGAGGGGGCAGGTAAGATTATCTTTTTTTTTTCTTTGTGATCTGGAAAACAAATAAGCCTTTACTTTTTTAAACCAGAAACAGAAAGTGTGTTTTATCATTTGAACTACATAAACTGAAATTAAATTAAATCCTTTTACTTTTTGAACCGAATATTGAAAAGGTCTTGCTCATTTGGTTTGATGGTAATATAATAAAAACAATGTCATGTGGCCAGTTTGTAACAGCAAGATCCTGTTTTAGAATTCTCCATGTTTCTTTAAGCATTTCTTTTGGTCAAACACTTACATGACTGTAAGACAGCCGGTGGAAGTGGAAGCTAAAATTTTCTGAATGAAAGCCAATAAGCCAATAAATCAATAACAAATCATTGTTATTGTAAAAAGCTACCTTGTCACTTCAAAGCCTGAGATATGATCACATGTTCACTTTTATTTACATTAAAGTCAAAAGGCTCTAAGTTATACTATAGCAGTGAGAGCATTAGTAATAAGAAGATAAGGTCCTCAGCAGCAGGACACATGCAGCAGTGATCCAGAGGAACCTACAGGATGATGGAGCTCTGGGACTCTAGAGAAGACTACATTTTTTACATCATGCTCATTGAACAGTGAGTGATCAAAATCACAATACTGATTCCATGTAGTGTGTTTGCCTTCATGAATATGCCAAGTGTATTCAGATTATCAAAATGTGCAAAGTACTGGGAGGAGAGGATGCAAATGGGATTTATAAAACCCGAAAAATGATTGCGTTCCATGTTTTTGCGCCTATATTAAGTACGTTAGAAAGGCAGGTGCAACCTGGTACAGCATTACGCACAAATGCCTGCAGTCATTGTGGCGAGAAGGAGGCAGAGGTACAATGACAGATGACAGAGAGAGAGAGAGAGTATCTTCTGTGTGTGCGTCAACATATTCAAACTGTCAGAAATAAATAGAGGAGAGACAAATCGTCTATACAGTAATGCCAGTTTTGAGCTGCTATATGACCCAAGAGTTGCTTGGAGCCAGTCACAAAAAGAAGCCATGACATATCTCCTTTGCAAAAATTCTTGCAACACTGCATTTCATTCCAGCACACCATTGCAGTGAGTGTGTCTCCCAGAGTAGTTTTCCTGGTGTGCTGTCCCAAACCTTGAAATAATATGTCACGAAGAATGGGCAAGTATATCCAGTTCCCACGTACTTGGGATGCAGTGAACAACACAAAACACGACTTATATGCAGTTGCTGGCTTCCTCAAAACAATAAGTGCAACTCCTTAGCTTCAAGCTTCATTTTTCATTTATAGCCACTCTGTTCTCCCAAATTTTCTATGGGGTCAGCCAGTAACGGTCTGTTATTGTTATCAATTGTGAACACAATCAAAGAAAATTACCCACAAATAGCACATGCAAACTTTCAGTTTGCATACATGATTTTGCGCTCACTATTTGGGACAGGGCCCAGTTTGGGAACTTCCAGCTCCACTCCTTCATTGTAAATAAAGCTGGCTCTGATTTGGGAAAAGAGAACAGTAAAACAAAGACAAAAAAATGTCCTAATGTCACAATGAAGACTTCCAAACAAACCAGTGGATGGTGTCAGGATTGAACTTCTGGGCTTCAGGACTCCAGATGTGTTGTTTAACAGCATGGGTTTAAGATAATGTAATAGTTGATTATAATATCCATGAAATCATACCTACACCTTCAGAACCACGCTAATTTTTAATGATGCTTCATACACATACTGTTAGAAACCCATTCTCTATTTTTCCTCCCATAATGCATGATCTCAGGTTTTGAAAGATTGCATACAGAGCTGAACAGAAGTAAGGCTAAGCTGCTCTGAGATCATACATATGATCCTCTTCCAGTGCAGGGTGAGGAGCATTGTTACAGAATGAGCTATATAGTAAGGTCTAACCCTGACCAACATGGTTCTCATTATGCTCACCATAGCGTTGAGTGTGCTGGCATACTCTCCATGCTCCTCCCCTTTGGCAGCGCACACACACAGCAGAGAGAGAATGAGAAAGAGAGAGACAGAGAGAGAGAGAGAGAAAGAGAGAGAGAGCTGCAGTGTTGATATTTATACCTAGGTCTGTGTTTCCCATTAGGACAGCAGTGCCTCAGTGTGTGCTTGCTGGAGAAAATGAAACTGTGAGTTTAATCACCGCAGACATTTCCTCACAGTCTCAGCAGCTTTAATGGAAGGAAATCCTCAGCAACATTTATGCAATGACTTACTCCTCTGTGGCGTTGCACATTATACAACCTGTGTCTAATCTGTGTGGCCCACTTATTAACTCCATTGTTAAGGGTGGGCCAACATTAAAAGGAAACAATAAGAACAAAGTTGATCAAGGTGACCCAGACTGGTCAGACAGAGGAGGGGCGGGGCTTAGCCAAGAGAACTTTTAATTTATTCAGAGCAATCAGGCTAAACCTTTTTTTTATGTTGAAGAAGAGGAAATTTATACCACCGCTTTGCTAAGGGAAACTGAGGAAAACCAACACAGGACAAACTTTATATCATTACAGAGGAACTTGAACAATGAATGGCTGTTGTAATAGCTATGACAGTATACAGTTGTTTTATTGTTTATGTTTTATGGCGCGCTCCATTGACAAGAGCAAAATAAGGACTGAGATGTCATCATGAATAATCCTACAGAAGTCTTTAATCCCTCTCTATCAGTGTTTCCTCTGTCCATCTCTCTCTTTCGCCAACCCCTCCTCTCTAAATCCAGCTCAGTCTCAGTAGATGACTGTCTAACATTAATAATAATAATAATAATTATTATTATTATTATTATTATTATGATAATAATAATACATTTTATTAAACTTGCACTTTACATCTGAGAAAGCAGATCTCAAAGTGCATACAGTGAAAGGTAATAGTAAAAACAACAAAAATAACAACAGTAAAAGGCAATAGTAAAAACAACCAATAAAAGGAACAACAGTCAGCATATAAAAATATAAAATCAGCCCGGAAAAGCTTTTCTAAAAAGGAAGGTCTTAAGTCCTTTTTTTAAAACCATCCAACATTTTTGGAGCTTTGAGTTGGTCCGGGAGGGCATTGCGCTACATTAAATCTGATGCATTATTAATTACTTTTTCAGCATTAATCTCAGTCTCAACATTACAAGCTTGTAGCAGTCAACCTGAGCACAGGCTAGTAGTCGAGGCTAGAAACAGTCTTCTGACGACAAATCTTTTTCCGTTAATTGCAAGAACATAGTCACGAGAGATAACTATACCTACAATATTGTGCATTCACCAAAAGAGCTCCAAATAACAGCAGAGAAGACAGCAGAGATGTAACCGTGA